GAAGGCAGGCGGGCCCGCCCCGCCTCTCTCCACAAAATGGCGCCGCCACCTCAGGGAAGGGCTGCCGGTGCGGAGTGGGGACGGCCGCCAGCCCCGCTCCCCAGGCGCTGTAAAGCTGGTTATAAAAGCGAGTTGCGTAACCCCGGGAAGGGTTTAATGCTTTGCGCGCCTCTGTCGCTCGCAGGAGGGCGTCAGGACGGCGGTGCCCCCGTCAGACACCCCCGGGGTCGGATCCTGCGCCGCGATGGGAAAGCACCGACAATGCCAGTAAGGCATAGGGGCGCGGAGAGCACACACCACGCCGGTGCCGAGTCGTCTTTATTCAGTCAGCGGCAGATCTTAGCCCGAAATAACACACGACAGAAGTGCCCCTTACTGACGCGTGGCCTTCTCTCACCATCGCCTGTTTATTAGCAATAAGCTGCTTGCTTTCTTCATCGATTCATAAAAGAAAATCATCCATTTCTATTTGCATTAAAATACCCTATTGTTTAATTAAAAAAACCCTAAAAACATGTAATGAAAATAGATAAAACGTACTAATCACAGCACTCGTCTTTCTCTAGAGAAAGGAAAAATCACCTTCAAAGAAAATATTAAAATTCCTGGAAGTGACATCTGTTGATTGGGAAACAGCCGCCTGAAGGAAGCAGTGAGATTTGTTGGGGCAGCGTCTTAAAGTCGGGTACCTGTGTGGCCTTTCCACCATCCAAGCAGCACCCCCCTGGCACGGGGCCTTGGTTGGGACAGGGAGAATGAGGGACGACGAGAGCACCGCAGCCGGGAGAAGGTGGGGGTCTGGCGCTCAGCACGGGAGTCTGGCACTCGGCACTGGAGCACGCTTGTGTTTGGCCAGGGAGAGGAGGCATGGGTCTTCCTACTGCAAGAAGCTGTGTGCAAGCCGAGGAATCTGCCTGTGGGCAACGACTTTCGGCAGACTGGTATTCCATCTTGATCTCACTTTCTTGATTTTAGCATTCAGAAATTCATATACAATCAGTTGTTCCTTTTCCTACGCCCACTTTCCCCAGCCTGCACTCTCACACCTGAGGAACCGGGTATGATGCACAAGCAGCAAGACCACACATATTCTTGCCACGTTCAATAAGGAAGTACCTAAAAAGAGAAAGAATTGTGTACGAGTGAGTGTTCTCTCCTCTTGCAAACTCAGCACAACACACAGTGGCATAAGGCAACTGCTCTCATTATGCACAAGCTCCGTTCTCATGCCAGTGCAAGGAGCAAATACCTGTGACAGGGCTGTTACTGCCAGTAGTAATGCTATTCCCTGTCCTCCTTCTATCACAAACTAGCAGTTAGCACCTGACTCTAAAGAATTTCACTTGCAGCTGGAAATAATTGCGGAGCTGGAGTGAAAACTCACTCCCAGCACAACCTGTTCTTCTTTGGCCATATAACCACAGAAGAGGCACGGTGTTCTCCTGGCACCAGGCGAACCAGTGGTACAGCAGCTCTGCACACACTGGCTGAGCCCCTGGTGACAACAGGGCATCTGCTGATCTAAGGATCTGCTCTAACCAGTCACCCCAGGACTGGTTTGTACAGCCATGTCTCCTTCACTGCACTCCCCTGCGTCCTCCCAGAGTATGAAACAGCTGCGAAATTTCAGCTTGAGAGCATAAGGGCAACCGCCAGGCTGATGAGGGTGGGTGGAATCTCACACATGTCACTGTCCTTTTACCAGGTACCAGGAGACCACGGTGGGTCCGGTAGCGTTGGGACCTCCTTACCCATCCATGCCCCACAGCGGGCCCCAGGAGTTCTTCACAATCCAGTAAGGAGTCCCATTTTCTTCTCCATAGCCCACAGCGAGGACAGCGTGGTTCACCTTGTCAGGAGTGTGCTCACATCGTGGACTGCAAAGAAACGGAGAAATAAAGCAGATTTGTTACATGAAAAACCAGCCTATAATTAATCATGGATTAGCTGGCACTCTTGATTGCACTCCAACTGCAAAAAGAACTAATGGGTACTCTAAACTTCCAGTTGTGGAGGGTAAGGAAGGATGCCAAGAAAAGGAGATACTGCTCTGTTTTCTCACTCAGAAATTATTACTGGCCATATCTGAAGTCAGGGCAATAGGCTACATGGACCTTTGATCCAAGCACCTGGTCCGGCCTTTTGTTCAGAATTAACATCAACATTGTCACACAGCAACGAACTACAATGAAAAAAAATGAACAAAGGAGTTTTCCCAATGAAAATTAGAAGCTCTTAGTGCATCCCAGTAATGGTGTGTTCTGCCCCAAAGTTCAGGGGCACTGTTCCACATTTTGCACAGGAACAGCGAGTTCCTCAGTCTAAATATACATTCCTTGTATTTCCTCTGAATTTCCAGCTTTTGAATTGCAATTGATGAAAGTTGTTGCCTGTGATACAAAACAGAACACGAGGTACAAGCTCTCATCTCTAGAGCATCTATTTTTAAACATTTTCAAATTGCAGATAAGGAAATGATCAATAATCCCCACAACAGATTTACTTTTCTTGAATCTGTTAATAGTTGGTTGGGGAAGCATAGGCTGAAAACACTGGAGCATCAATTATTCCATACACTCTTGACTTTAAATCTACTTTAGACTGTAAATCTACAGGATAACTTTACTTGGCGTGTTCCTCAGGCTGGAATCCTATTACAAAGTATCTTGACCATCTGCCTTCGTACCTTACACCTGCCTGTTGCTGGCAGTTAACTTTGAGACGACTGTCTTTATTGCAACAGCAAAGCCACTCAAATTCGTGGTGCTGTTTTCCCTTGCAGCTCCCTGGGGCAGATCCCTCAATGCTTAGACTCTTAGTTTAATTTTCCCTGCAGTTCTACGTGACTGAGGATTCATTACTCTAAAGTATTTTTCTAGTTCTCTCCAAACATGCACTTTCCCTGTTTCTTGCCTAATAGCAATCTATCCTGCCGCAGTTAGCTTCCATAGTCTTTCCAAAATATAATAATCATCCTTTTAAGTAGCTTTTTGCCTTGGCTGTAGAGCTGACACAACACTTGAGACCTTCTGCTAGGTCACTTCATATCTCAAACTAATTTTTCATCTCTGCTGCTTTTCTTACAGGTGCAGCTGCAGAGAGGCAGGTAAGACCCTAATGGGATTGACAGGAGGTGCTCAGGGACCTGCCTGCCCTGCTGAGAACAGCCATGCAGGGACCCCTGCCTTCCTAACACAACCCGCAAACGTACGAGCAGCGTGAAGGCAGCACTCGGCTCACCACCACCCCTGGGAGGTTTAGCCCTGGAGGAGCCGCCCGTAAGAAATCTGACTTTGGTTAGGGCTTACCCTAAGTAAACCAGATGTGTCCAGCTGCTACACCTGGGCTGACCCAGCCCCTATCCACAGCTCAGACACATGGACAGACACATCGGCCCTGGGACAGGCTTCCTCCAGCTCTGCGGCAGGGCTGCAGAAGGATCTCCGGAGCTCACTGACTTGCTGATCTTCATTCCAAATACACTCTGGTCTTCAGGTTGGACTGGTTCCTAGCAGTAAATTGGCTGCAAGCATACTGTTCCCTTTTCCCCATGCTACGCTCTCATCCCCCTGGGAAATCAGTGTATCAAGGCTCAATTTACTTATGTTTTCTGTTTTCTCTTTAAGAGAAAATGCAAGGATGTGGTCCAGCGTCCCTGCATCCAGTGCCGTGAAGCAGGAGAAATGAGGATGTGAGTGATTCCAGCCCTACCCCTTCCCCTCAGCCTCACTCCCAGGTTCAGGAATACTCACTTTGAATAGACTCCTTTTCTGTAGTGCATGAAGTTACCCGTCACCTCAAACGCAAAGCTCACCGGGTTGTGCTTCCCCACAGCTTCTACCATGCCATCCTCATCATACTGCAAGAAGAGGATCCCAGGGTCATTTATCTCCTGATTATGCTGGGACCGGCCCGGATCCCCAGACCAGCGGTCAGCACAGTGGGGATGGCTAACCCTGGCTTTCTGCTTGCAGGCAAGGAAAGAAGTGCTGCGTGCATTGAAAGATAAGAACCAAAACGTTCTTACAGTTGGGAGGTGCACCCACTGTGGAAAGCAGGCAGAGACCCAGCCCCTGCACTTTGCCTACAGCACTTCATTAGTGCCACCTTCAGAAAAGGGAGTCAGCGGTGCACAGGAGAGGAGGAGTGTGCACGCCAGCAGCTTGCTCCTCTCCCAGGAGCAAGCAGGCTGTGGCTCGTGCTGCAGAGCCCGGCATGCCTTGGGGCACCCGAGCACCTTCCAGGTCAGGCTTGGCACAGCCCTGGAAGTTTGGAAACGTAGCCCTCGGGGCCTTACCTGCGTGATATTGATAACATCCTTGACAAACGCAATAGCCTTCTCTGGCTGGAACTTGCAGGTGCCATTCTGTGCAGACAGAAAGGAACTGGGGTTACAGCTGGCTCTGGACCCTGCTCTGCCACTGCAGAAATGCATCTGAGCTGCGCTGGAAATACCTCGGCCCGGTACGGGTAGGTGTCCTCCCCCATAAGCCCTTTATTATACAGTATGTATTCGAAGGCTTGGCTTGGCAGGCCCCTGCAAGACAACACAGACAGAATGCAGATTAATTAGGATGGTAACGCTGCAGGTTCTGCAGAGCAAAGCCATCAACATTCCCCTGCAGTCCTACAGACTGTTCCCACAAACTGGGGGGGAAAGGGAAGGACAGTGTGTGTCCCAGACCCTCTAAAGGCATGAACTCCCATCTGTTCCTGCAGCGTCTCCCTGTCTGGCACTCCAGGCCTAGCCCATCACGCTGTTTAGCACGGTCCTACACAGGCACGGGAAGACCTCATTCCCAGGGGTACCTGATCCTGGGGGAAGAACGCCAACACAGGAGCCCCAAAGGCGTGAAGCCACCTCGCCCACACAGCACCAACCATGCCAGCTCAGCTCTGCAGCCTCGCACACCAAAAGGTCTTTTTCCATGACCTCTGCCCAGCCTGGCTGGGTTCCCCAGCTACACAGCACAGGGAGGTCAAGGGACCCGCATCTCCAGCAAGCAGCTGCTTCCTTCCCCGGCCACCTTCGGGGAGCACATCTCACAGAGGGAAGAAAAGGAGAGTGTGATCAGGGCATGCTAACAAGGAAAGGACTAAGGAGGAGGCACGAAAAAAATAAAAAGCAGCAAGAACGGTTTTGCTGAGCTCTCTGAGCACGCCTCAGGGACTGCTTGTCTTACAGAAAACAGAAGATTTCAGAAAGCTTTCTTTTCTGCTTTGTCTAGCAATGCCAGTAGGAATTTACCAAAGGGGAAGCAGAGGTTTCTGTGGGTTCCTTAAAGCACCATGAGACGCGCGTGACCCATGAGCAGAGCAACAGACAAAACTCCCCTTGCTTTCCCTGAGCGTGTTAAAGCTTAGTTACAGAGCACCCATGACTGCGCTATCAGAAGACATTGTACCAAAACAAATATCAGAAGAAAAACTAATAAACAAGTGGAACAACAGAGGTTAGGAAATGCTGGAGATGTAGTGAAACGTTCTAACCTCCAGGGAGGGCAAAATTAAAATAAGCAAAGCAAACCAAACCAAACCCAAAACTGTTTCCCCTGACACATCTCAGCCAAGGGAAAACAAGAAACATTCCAAGATCTGGAAGGGTCCCAACAGTGGATCTTGATGAATGCTGTCAATCATGGAACACAAGATACTCTCATGTCTATTCTTTATTACTTTATATTACTTACCCACTGCAGCCGTGGTTGTTAAAAGCCTGGGCGCAATCAACTAACTGTTGTTCCGCCTACAGAGAAGTTTTTTGAGTCAGTATATATTCAACACCTGCATTGGGAGTAGGTGAGACAAAATGCAACCCGCGCGGCAGGCAACCGAAGAGCGTTGGTTTTATCCGTGCAGCTGGCTCTTCACCTGCTGCGAGCAGGAATCACCCAGCTGAACAGCTCCACGTCCTGAGGAGGGGGACAAGGAAGACATGGAGCCGGCAGCCCAGGATGCTCCAGCTGCAAGAGGCATTGCTCCTCACGCCTGCGGGGACACTGTCCCACCCACAGGAGCGCTGGCTGAAATCTCTTTCAAAGGTCAAGCTTGTTTTTAACACTTACACACAACCCTCAGCTATTCTGATAAGTCATATAAGCGGCTACTGTCTTTCTAGTTCTTTGAGAACATAAATCTCTGGGAGTTTAAAAATAAACAGTCTCACAACATGCTGCTTGCAGCAAGCTGTTCTGCAGCAAGGAGCTCCTGCCGGCTGGCAGCACCAGGAACGGCTCTAGCTAACCATGCCTGCTCCCAGCAACAGGGACCCGTCAGCCTCCGGCCCCTCTGGTTTTGTCCTGCTCCGAAAAGGGCTCTGCCCAGGCCGGGGGCAGCAGGACACTGATGGGGCGAGACACATCCTCAGGCACAGAGAGCTCCTGGCTATGTCGCCCTGTGCCTCCCCAGCAGTTTTGCTTGGCTTGCAAAGCGCTGCAAGGGGTCTGCAGGGCTGGGGGTGCCTGGCACAGCCGCATGCAGTGATGTACAGCCGGACCCAGAACAAGCAGCCAGCAGTGGTCCCAGACAGGAGCGGGCTGGCCCCGCTGGCAGCCCCGGAGGATAACCAGAGGCAGGACTTGCTGTCAGTGCACAGGAAAGGAAAATCTCTTACCAGAGAGAGGAGCTTTCCCGTCGCAATAGCAATAGCAGACTCCAAACACCCCGTGGTGGAAAAGGTCCAGCAACTCCCGCAGGGGCCCTGCATTAGGAACCGGAGAGGAACTGCTCCATAACATGCCGCAGGGTCACTGGCCTCCCCGAAACGCCATGGCCGGGGCAGAAGGGCATGCCCCCCGCCCTGCCACTCCCTGCCTGCAGCTGGGCTTTCCCCTCTGATCGGCCCCTGCCCAGGGGCCCGTGGCATCCCTCGGCCCCAGCTCACCCCGGCCACCCTCGCCCCAGCCATGGACGGGCACCCAGGGGAGCACACCCCAGCGCTCCTCCTCCTGGCACAGTGCCCTGCCCGCAGCGGTCACCCCCTCTCCCGGCCCGCTCTTGGTGCATCACCAATGACGCACACTCCTCACCTGGTTTTTCACGGGTGTCACGTAATTTCCCTTCTTCCTCCAGTCGATGGAGTCGGGATACGGCCCGGAGCTGCGCAGGAAGTTCCCCTTGGTGGCTGAGCAGT